TGCTGATTAAATGATGCAACAATTTCAAAGTAGCATAAGATAGTATAAACCAGTAAATAACTATACTTACATAAAATATGTCATTTATAATATATAATTTGTAAATAACTATATATAGCAAATAACTATAACCAAATTGTGCAGTATAAGACTTTTCCCCTCCATCCATCTTTAGATATCCTTCACCTTGACAGTCACATGCTGCTGGCTCAGGACCTGTGCCTTCTTGTTTCTGCATTTTGATAGCATACTCCCTCTCATTTCCTTCTCATTTGTAAGGTCCTTATTCACCTTCTCCTTGTCGGTCCAAATGTCATTAATTCTTTAAAATCCAGCTCAAATGTCACCCTCTAGGAAGCCTCCTATAATTGTCCCAGTCAACAGTTCTCTCTCTCTTCCCCCTCAGAAAGAGATCTAACTTTACTCATGATTGTTTTTTTGCGGTGACTATTCCTCCTATTCAATTTTCTTGAGTAAAGGATCAGTATCTAATACACCTTTGTGTACTACACTACCTTATATAGAGTAAGACCTAAATAAATATTTATGGAACAGACAAAATTAATAAATTAAATTAATTAATTTAATTAACAGAAAAAATTAATAATAAATCCTTTGATTTATTGAAATCTTAAAAATATTAAGTTTTTAATCTGTTTTCTTACTTTGTATTTTCTAAATGCATCTGAAAATAATATTATCTTAAAACTTTCAGACCAACAATCCTTAGTATCCCTTCAGTTCTTATTTCTTCTGCTTTGTTACAGTTAGAGAGGTTACCATATTAAGAGCTGCCAGTTGTGTAATGGCAAGCTCTTAGCCAACATGAATGTTAAGAAGTAAGTGTTTGAAGTGTTAAGGATATAAAAAGGAAAGTGAAAGGACTACAATTATAAATCATAAAGAATATCAAATAATTACTTGGCCATGTAAAGATAGTAATTTTTCTATGCTGCCATTACAACTCTAAAAGGATGCTAATAGGTATATCAACAGGTAATTTACAACTAATTGATGTTTTAAGTGATTCTTTTTTTTCTTAAGATTTATTTATTTATTTGAGAGAGAGAGAGAGAGAGCACGAGCATGCGTGTGGCGAGGAGGGGCAGAGGAAGAGGGTGAGAGAGAGCGTCAAGCACACTCCGTGCTGAGCATGGAGCCCACAGAGGGGGGCATGATTTCACAACCCTGAGCTAAAACCAAGAGGTGGACGCTTAACCGACTGAGCCACTCAGGCCCCCTAAATACTGATTCTTAAATGTTGTTTTAGGTTTTCATACAGATGTGTTGAGATTTTTTCTTTTTTCCTTTTCTCCCTTAGGGGAAATTCATAAATGCCTTTTGGCAATCCTAGACTTCCTAGATATCTTCTAGTTATTTGTTTATGGCTCATATTTATCTTCCTACCCAGAATTTTAATTTAGCCTTCAATGTTCTCAAATCCTACTTCCTACTTCCAGTATTGCTTGAACTGAACAAAGGACCAATCTTCCCCTTCTCTGAGTTCCTACTACTTTTATAATCCATATCATACAAAGTAGCCTTTCATAAACTTCCTTTATTTTGTTCATACAGAAGCCTAATTTCTTCCAGTGAATTTTAAGACCAATGAGTACACCCTCAGCTTCTTTCATATCCTTCTTGGGTCGACACAGAGCAAATGCTTAAGATACAGATAAATAACTCTTCTTCTCCTCCCTTTACTCAAGCTTTAAACAGAAGCTTTTTAAACTGTGAAATAAATAATGGTACCCATAACCCACAAAAAAAGATAGTGGTTACTCTAGAATAAACAAGGCATAAATACTTCATCTTGAGTTCAATTTATCTAACAGTAATCCCTAAATGTTTGATGATGCAACATGACAAAGGCAAGTAGGCAAATGTGGGGCACAATACATTCTTTCATATAAGACTTCTTAGAACTTTCAATACTCTAGGAATGTCAAATAAAACCTTTTCTAATTTATTTGGCCAAGAAAATTTGTTTCTCTGAAACACCTATTTATGAGTTGAGCAAGACCACTACCACTGTTCTTCAGTCTTACAGGTGCCTGGGTGACTCAGCTAGCTGAGTGTACTATTCCTGGTTTTGGCTCAGGTCATGATCTCATGGGTGGTAAGATCAAGCCCCACGTCTGGCTCCGCACTCAGCAAGGGAGTCTGTTTGAAGATTCTCTCCCTCTGCCCCTCTCAGCCTCAAATAAATAAATAAATCTTTAAAAAAAAGTGTACAGTTTTAGTAACAACAGGATCTCAAATGTCCCTTGTATGCCTATCTTAGAGACAGAGATCTACTACCCATAATTTTTTAAAAAAATGAGACAAAACTAAGATATGCCTTCACTATTTAAAAAATCAAGATATCACAAAATCAGTTTATTAATGTGGTTTATATTACTTAATATTTCACTATATAAAAATAGAGCATAGTCATTTATAGAATAAATTTGATTTTAAGTCACCACAATATTTTTAATACTAAGACATAAAGGTTTACTGAATAAAAGAGAAGATAAAGGGGATAAGATATATATGTTGACTTTTTAGCTGTAAAAGTCTTCTTTTGGTATGGTCTAAGATAGATGTTCTTCAAAAGGCTCTCGCTATGATTTTAGAGTTTGTTGGTTTTTATTCCTGCTTTGTGTATCTGAATTAACACTAGCCTTTTTTTTTTCTTTTGAGATGTAAAAATTTTGAAAAGTAGGGAGCACCCACGTTCCCCCACCTAGAACACACAATCACTAATATTGTCATATTTGCTTCAAACTTGTTTCTTGTAAATAATACAAGAGCAAATATCCAGCCATTTGTTTAACAGGTACTCTTATTGAGCACAGACTTGTATTAGCACTGTGTTAAGTGCTGCACACTGAATCGTGAGCTAAACAGCCAAATGACCTACAATTACATATGTACCTTACAACCTGGTAGGAGAAACACAATCAAATAATCAGAGAAATACTTACAAACTGAAATGCTGAGATTAAAGTACCAACCAGCCTTTCTCAGCTGGGATTCCATGAGAGAATCAGATGCTAAGGACAATGATTTGAGGGACTATTTTCTCAATTCCCTTAAGACTGGCACATAGCTAGTACCATCCTGGAAGTACAGGTGAGAAGTTAATTCATACATACAATGGGTGTTTCACTTAAGGCACCAGGATTTGTCTCTCAGAACCAGCTGAGAAGGACTGGTACAGATTCTATGAGAAAGAACTGAACTTTGGTAGTGGGGGGATGGTTAGAAAAGCCCAAGGAAGTGAAGTCTTTAACTGAAATATGAAGGATATATAGGTATTAATTATCTAGGCCAGGGCTGGGTGGGGTGGTAGTGTGAAACATTATCTTTCCAGGGAACAAACACTGTCTTTCCTTTGAAGGCCCTAAGGGACAAAGGAACAAGGTGATTTTGAAGAATTAAAAGACCAATACAGCTAAGTACAGAGAACAAGGTCAGGGAGGAATAATAAAACATGAAGTTGGAAAGACAGGCAGGTAGGCAGGGACCAGAAAAAATGACTTCAACTGCATTAAAAAAGATCACTGTGGCTCCAACAGGCTACAGAAATAAGAGCAGATGAGGAAGACCAGAGGAAAACCTTCTGCAGTGATTCAGGTAAGAGATAACGGCTTAGACTAGGGTGGTGATGGCAGGAGTGGAAAAAAGTAGATTTGAGTGGAATTTAAAATATAAAGGAAGGGATAAGGGTAGAGAGGGTTGTGTGAAGGATGACTCCCAGGTTCTGGGTAAATGCTGCTGCTGAACATTGGGAAAAGTCTGGAGAGTAAGCTTTTACCTGGGTTTGATGTCACTTTGAGATATCTGAAGGAGATGTCAAGGAGGCAAATGCAGATACGAATCTGGAGTTGAGAGAAGGGGTCTAGTTTGTAGTTCCTTTCATAGAGGAAAATGAGGGGGACTGGCAGAGATCTCAAGCAGTAGCCATCAAGCTTGGGTAGCACACATTAGGAAACAAGATGTATATGCATGGCATTTGTGTTATGTGTAACACAAGGTGATATACATTAAAATAAAAAGACTGAGAAAAAAGGGGAGAAAAAGTGAGACAGGATGGTTGCCTTGTTTTCCATCTTATGTGAAAAACTGCTAAAGACAGTTATAGATATAGGTAGTTAAACAATATGCTATTGCTGCCTTGTAAATGCTGCCTTGTAACTATCAAGAGTTCGAATTTATCTGATAATGTAAATTCCAAAATCAGACACTCAGCTGATATTAAATCATAAAGCAATTTTCTTATAAATATTTTCAGAAGCAAAAAACTGTATAGATCTTTTCTCTCCCTCTTTAATGGTTTTTATTTTCACACTTTACCCTCTATATACATTAACCCAACTTCACAATCTTCATATTTTTGCATTACTTTGGAGAAATGTAAAAATATTACCTTCACAATTATATAATGTTATATTAACCAAAAATCTAATATGTGGGCCACTTTGTTTAAATGATTGCTAAAATACTAAATACTAAAATCAAGTTTATTGTTGGGTGGTTTGAGTATATGGTACACTGAATTTTTAACTTAAAGATTTTTTTAAAGACTTTATTTATTTGAGAGAGAGAGAGAGAGAGAGAGAGAGTGCACACACAAGCAGGGGGTGGGGAGGGGCAGAGGGAGAGGGAGAAGCAGACTCCCCACTGAGCAGGGAGCCAACATGGGGCTTGATCCCAAGACTGGGAGATCATGACCTGAGCCGAAGGCAGACAGACACTTAACCAACTGAGCCATCCAGGCGCCCCTTAATTTTTTTTTACATTGAAAAATTTTTAACTTTGCTGACTTTTTAAAAGGGTTAATACAAATCAAATGCCAAATAAAATTCTTATTGATAAAAAGCAAGAAAATTCCAAGTACTACCTTATTAGAGAGGACATGTAATTATATTCCTACTTTGTATTTTTGTGCTTGAATAACTATGGTCCTATATTTGTTCTTTAGTTTAAACAAGTTGTTTCAGTTTGTTACATACCAGTTAGCAATGTCTTTGTGAGCCACTAAATTTTGAAGAAATGCTTGTAATCCTAGTTGTCTATCTTCTAAAAAGTCAGCATTGTAATTATCTTTGAACCAGCGTTTTGGTGGAAGTGCTAATCGAAAGCCTGGAAACATCTCTTTTAACTGAAAAAGAAGAAAAAAGAAAATACAATGTTCAACTCAACATATCAATTCTATAAAATCTATCCTGTTAACTATATGGACTTGTTCATGAAATAAACTTAAAGTAATGAAATTCAGCTAAACTTTTTTTTTTTAAAAGATTTTATTTATTTATTTGACAGAGACAGACACAGCAAGAGCGGGAACACAAGCAGGGGGAGTGGGAGAGGGAGAAGCAGGCTCCCTGCAGAGCAGGGAGCCCAATGTGGGGCTCGATCCCAGGACCCTGGGATCATGACCTGAGCCGAAGGCAGATGCTTAACGATTGAGCCACTCAGGCGCCCCTCATCTAAACTTTTTATGTCTGAATTGTTTACTTGTTGATTTCTACCAGTTGTATATACACAGGCGTTACAGTTGCTCCATATCCTTGCCAACACCTGGCATTGTCCATCCTTGTAATGTCAGCCATTCTGGTGGGTATGTAGTAGTATTTCACTGTGGCTTTAATATGCATTTCTCTGTTGACAAATGATGTTAACTATTTCCTTATGGGCTTTTTTGGATTTGCATATCTTTGGTGAATTATCTATTCAACTCTTCTAACCCCTCCGTTTAAAAAAATTGGGTTATTTATCTTTTTATTAACTTGCAAGAGTTCTTTATATATTCTGGATACAAGTCCTCTGTGAGATGTAAGTATGACAAATATTTTCCCCCAGACTGTGGTCTTTTACACACATTTTTTTGATTCTTGCCAGTAAAAGCAGGTGATGGGTAGAGCTCTTTCTGGTACCTAGAACACTGACATAGATACTTATTAATTTTGAGTGCCCAACTTGGAATACGTAGGAGATATTTACTAACTTAAATTCCTATGAACATCCTTCTTTAAAAGCTTTAGAGTTATCTAAATCTCAACTTGCCTAAGGTAAGAACTATTATAGCAATATAAAGATGAATCCAGAGAGGTAAAGAGAAGTAAACATTGAATAATAATTGAGCCCTCAAAAGAAAAATAACAAGTCATAAAGGATTAAATAGCTCTAAATTGAAACTGTTAGAAATTAGTCTTCATGAACAAAAATTGTAACAATTTCAAAAGTTAAGAATTCCACCTAAGTATCTGGTAACTTAATGAATTACTGTGATCTTCTTATTTAATTATTAATTATTATTTAATTTTAAGTACAGAATTATAGGTTTTTAATTCATCAGTGTAATAATAAGAAATCAGGAAAAGTAAGTAAAATTCATATTTAATGATGGAAATACATTACAAATAATACTTTATTTTGGCATACTACAAAAAGTCATCTTGATAAATACCTAAATAAAGGATAAAATAGCTTAGCATTTTATATTTTACCTTTCATTCAAATTGAGGTTTTTAGAATGGCAGAAACTTTTTGGCAGCCAGGCAACTGCAAAATCACATAAATAGGTTTCCTACCACCAAAAATGATAAGGATATACTAACTTTAGAAGTTTTGAGAGTGAAGGTGGCAGATGGCAGAAAATAGGACCAGTAGTTTCCTCTACTAAACACCTGTCAAAATTAGTGAGTGATTTCTGATCCAAAGACAAAATCCAAGGTTACTTAGCCTCTTAGAAACATCATAAACCACTTTCTTCTTTTGGAGAAATGCTCCTGGTTTCTAAAATACTACCACCCTCACCTGCCTCAATTGATTTCCCTCTAGCTCTGTGGATATCTCAGCTCTTTCTTTACTACATTCGTACTGCAATTTACTCAATCAATTCCCTATCAATTCCCCAAATTTAGGTTGGTTCTAATTTTTAACTATTAAAAACAAATTAAAACACAAAGAAAAGAACAGTGAATAAAACACAGTGAAAAGTATCCTTAGAGCTAAATATTGTCCATATCCATGATTTCTTATATTGGATAAATCCCAGAAATGTGATTATTGTATCAAAATTATGCACAACTTTAGGAAGTTGTGTCCCCTAGGAAGATTCATATTTCCAACAATGGATAATACCACTTAAATGTCTGTTAACATGATGGGTGAAAAATAGTTTCTTAATTTTCCTTTGAGTCCTTGTGATACCAAATGTTTTCCAAATTTATTGGTCACTTATATTTCTTCTGTGGTTTGCCTTGTTCACATAATTTGTAGTATTTTCTACTTTTGGGTTTACTCTAATTTACTTTTAAGAGTTTTTAATACATTGAGGGTTTTTATTATTTTCTTTGTTTCATATGTGCAGTAAGCAGATTTCCAGACGGCCCCATGATCTTTGTCCCTGGTGTTGCTTCTGTGATTCTGTTATGTCACACATTAAAAGAGATTATGCAGACGTAATTAGGGTTACTTTTCAAATGGCCTTAAAATAGAGAGATTATCTCGGTAAGCCTGATCTTATCATGAGCCCTTTAAAAGTCTAGTTTTCCCCCTGGCTGACGGCAGAAGAGAAAGTCAGAGAGATTCAAAACACAAAAAGGACTTGACCTGCTACTGCTGACTTTGAAGGTGCAGGGGCCATGTGCAAAGACTGGACAGCACTCTATGAACTAAGAACAACCTCTGGCTGACAACCAGCAAGGAAATGGGGACCCTGGTCTTAGAACTACAAGAAACTGAACTCTGCCAACAACCTGAATGAACCCAAAAGCTGAACTTTCTCAGAGCCTCCAGAGAAGAGCCCAGTCTAGCCAACAGCTTGACTTTGACTTTAACCGTAAGTGGAAAACCCAGCTGAGCGCACCTAAATCACTAGATAAAAAACAGGTATGTTTTAGGTCACAAAGTTTGTGGTAATTTGTTAACAGCAATAGAAAACTAATACACTATGTTAGAAATATTTTTTGTTGTTGTTCATTCCCTTATAGTCATATGATTTGGGGAATCATATACACCTTTATCAAATTCACAAGATTATATAATCATTTTATTTATTTATTTATTTATTTTTAAAGATTTTATTTATTTATTTGACAGAGACAGAGATAGCGAGAACAGGAACACAAGCAAGGGGAGTGGGAGAGGGAGAAGCAGGCTTCCCGCCGAGCAGGGAGCCCGATGCGGGGCTCGATCCCAGGACCCTGGGATCATGACCTGAGATGAAGGCAGACACTTAACGACTGAGCCACCCAGGCGCCCCCATATAATCATTTATATTTCTGTTAGCAGTTTTAAGATTTTCATACTTTTATACTAAAAATAATTTTTTGTTTCTAAAAAAAGGAAGTTATGTGTAAAGATGGGTCTTTAGGCTATTAAAATGAAATAAAATAGTTAATTTTCTTAGGAACTAGCAAAATTTGACTTCACTCAGATAACTAACAAGGAGAACCCACAAATATTTAACAGTAGAACTGTCAGGAACAGATAATAATTTGAAACTGAAAAGTCCGTTTTAGATTTATTAAAGTACTTACTTTATCATTAAGTCTAGAGAAGTCAGTGTATCTTCTGAAAACTACCCAACTTTCTTCTGGGGTTTTCTTTACTAGTATTTTATATACCTATGCAGAGAGAGAGAGAGAGAGAGGTGAAAAAAAATGTATATAAAGATATTTAAAATTTCGAACCAAACCAAATATTTTTAAAACTTTTACTTGACAACCCAGGTCATAACAATTAGTATGTAAAAAATATCAGAAATCATTTGGGGCACCTGGGTGGCTCAGTCATTTAGCATCTGCCTTCAGCTCAGGTCATGATCCCAGGGTCCTGGGATTGAGCCCCACATCGGGCTCCTTGCTCAGCAGGGAAGTCTGCTTCTCCCTCTCCCACTCCCCCTGCTTGTGTTCCCTCTCTTGCTGTCTCTCTCTCTCTGTCAAAAAATAAATAAAAATCTTAAAAAAAAAAAGAAATCATTTGGAACATCAAATGTACAAATAATCAATGTAGGCACCAAAAGCAAGATTTGTTTCTTTTTCTTTTCTTTTTTAAAATATTTTATTTATTTATTTGACAGAGAGAGACACAGTTGCCCTGTGGAGTTGCTCTCTAGCCACAAGTGGCTACTGAAAACTTGAAATGTGACAAATCCTAACTGACATGTGCTTGAGTGTAAATACACACCAGATTTAAAAGACTGAGAACAAAAAAAAAAAGATGTAAAAATACTTCATTAAAATGGCTTTGGATTAAATAAAATATATTATTAAATATAATTTCATTTGTTCTTTTCACTTTTTTAAACATGGCTACAAGGAAATTTTAAATTACAAAGATGACTCACATTTGTGGCTCACCTAGTCTTACTGGATGCTGTAGAGAAGACTCATTGTTTAGGTACTAGATCATCCTTATTTTTCTTCCTTACAGACCTCTCTTTCAGCTTTTTTTTTAAAAAATATTTTATTTATTTATTTGACAGAGAGAGAGAGAGCGCAAGCAGGGGAAGCAGCAGAGGGAGAGGGAGAAGCAGGTTCCCCGCTGAGCAGGGATCCTGACATGGGGCTCGATCCCAGGACCCTGGGATCATGACCTGAGCCGAAGGCAGCCGCTTAACCAACTGAGCCACCCAGGACCACTCTCTTTCAGCTTTTAAGGGGGAGAATCAGCAAGGGTTAAGGATGACTCCTTTAGCTTTGAAGTAAATATAAATAATTCATCTTTGTAACATATAAAGATGAGGAAGATTATTTGGATATCCTTTAAAGTCTGCAGAAAGTCCTTATCTAAGATAATTGTAAAGGGGATACTAATGAAACATTCTTTTTAGGAGTTACTAATAGAAACAAAAGGAATAACCTGACTTCAAAACGTTTGAGTATGAATAACTGATGCATAATAAAAGTCAACTTCATATGATAATAAGGTTTATCTACACATAATCCATATTGACTTTATTTTCCTGTTTTAAAAAATGAATCCTCCTTTCAAGTTTTTCTCCAGTGGCCCCTGAGCACTCCTATTTCTCTAGTAAAGACAAAGTACAGATTTTTGTGTTTTATCTTCTCTAGAAAGCTCTCCTATGTTTCTACTTGTATAAGTAGTGCTTTCAATGAAAAGTTTATGGACACTACTGATCATTCCCTCTTCTATGTTCTAACAGTAGTTATGGTTTCTACTCTTTACTGGAAACTTAGTATATACTACTTTGTGCTTTTTATATAGCCCTTATTATAGGATTTTTAAGTAAATTATGCAGGAGCACACACCTAATTACAGAATACATACAGAAAAGCACAAAAATCATTAGTATACAACTTGATGAATTTTCATAAAACAAACACACTCATGTAACTAGTACCAAGTACAAGAAACAAAACATTACCACTTGAAGAAGCCCACCTCATGGCTCCTTCCCAAACTGACTTATCACCCCTCCTAGTCACTTTTGTTCTTAAACACTTTTCAAAGGCTTGACACGCTAATGACAAGAACTTACCAGTCATTCCTAATATTTTATTCAGTTAAGAGCTCAATTCAAAGAAATATACCTAAAAAAAAATTATCTTACAAACCTAAGACTCCCTAACGTGTATATTCAGCTCAGACCTCTCCCCTAAACTCAACTTATATTTACATACACATACATAATACATAAGCTTGGGACACACATGCACATATATACACACACCTGACATCTCCATTTTGATGTCTACTAGACATCTCAAGCCTAGCATGTCCAAAAACAAATCCTGATCTTGCCCTCAAAACCTGCCACCGAATTAAACAGCAACCCTACTGTTCACCCAAAAACTTTGGGATCATCGTTGATTTCTCTTTATCCCACATCTAAAGGTTTTACCTTCAAAATATCCCCAGAATCTGATCACTTCTTAGGACTTCTTCCACCACCCTGTCCACACCACCATCATGTCTTCCGTGGATTACTGTAAGAACTTAATACTTCCTGTTTCCATTCCTTCCTCCACAAAATCTAGTCTTAACTCAGCAGCCAGATGAGTCTTTAAACCTTAAGTCAGATCATGTAACACTTCCTTTAAAACCTTTTCAAAGATTGCCATCTTGTGCAGAGTAAAATCTAATGGCCTTACAATGGCCTACATGCTCTACCTGATCTGTGTGTCACACTCCCTTGTCTTTACCTGTTATTTCAGTTCTTACACCTTTCCCCATGGCTGCTTCTGCTGTCAGCCACAAGGGCCTCTGCGTTGTCTCACCTGTCAGGAAGGTTCTTCCCCCAGATATTCTCGTGGCTCATTGCCTCTTAGTGCTAACATCTTTTCTGTGAGGCCACGACTGACAATGTTATTTAAATTGCAACTCCAGTTGCGGGGAAACTATCTCCCTTCACTCTTTTATTTCTCTTTATACCACTTACCACCTATGACATACCAGCATTTTAAAATGCTTACTCATCTATCATTCATTCATTCGAGTTGCTGTACCGCTATTACCTAAAAGAGTGCATGACACACAATAGGTACCCCCAACATGAATTAAATGAATAAATGAATAGTAATAACTTCATACCCGTTATTTACTTCTTCCTCTAAAGTGTTATTTTTTTTTCAAGATTTTATTTATTTGAGAGAGAGAGAATGAGAGATAGAGAGCACGAGTGGGAAGAGGGTCAGAGGGAGAAGCAGACTCCCCGCTGAGCAGGGAGCCCAATGTGGGACTCGATCCCGGGACTCCAGGATCATGACCTGAGCCGAAGGCAGTCGCTTAACCAAATGAGTCACCCAGGCACCCCCTCTAAAGTGTTTTTAGACTTTATGTATAGCTGCCTTAAATTTGCCTATGAACTTGTATTTTCACACACATCATTTCAATGAATGCTCATCCAGCATAAGGTAGGTCAATGTAAGAAAATGGGCCACCAGTTTATCATAATTTCCAAAAAAAGTCAGGTCCATGCAAATTTCCCATCACATCATCAGTCTTATGATAATTTAACTCTAAAGATGTCTCTCTTCATAAAATATCTCAGTTGTACATAGATGCTAAAAATCAACAAAATATTAACAAATTGCATTAAACAACACATTGTAAGGATCATTCACTATAATCAAGTGAGATTTATTCTGGGGATGCAAGAATGGTTCAACATTTGCAAATCAGTGTGATATAGCACATCAACAACATGAAGGATAAAAATCATATGATCACTTCAATAGATGCAGAAAAAGCATCTGACAAAATTCAACATCTATTCATGATAAAAATTCTCAACAGAAAAGGTTTAGAAAAAAACGTGCCTCAACATAATAAAGCCCATATATGAAAAACCCAGAGCTAACATCATACTCAATGGTGAAAAACAGAGCTTTTCCTCTAAGATCAGGAACAAGACAAGAATGTCCACTCTTGTCACTTTAATTCAACAAAGTACTAGAAGTGCTAGCCACAGCAATCAGAGAAAAAGAAACAATGGTAAGGAAGAAGTTAAATTGTCACTATTTGCAGATGAAATGATACAGTATGCAGAAAACCTTAAAGATTCCACCAAAAAACTACTAGAAGTAATAAATCCTGTAAAGTTGCAGGATACAATATTAAATACACAGAAATTGGTTGGGTTTTTTTTTTTTTGGTTGTGTTTCTATATACTAATAACAAAGTAGCAGAAAGAGAAATTAAGAAAACAATTCTATTTACAATTGTGCCAAACAGAATAAAATACCTAGAAATAAGAAGTTAAAGACTTGAATTTTGAAAACTATAAAACACTGAGGAAAGAAATTAAAGACAACACAAATAAATGGAAAGATATTCCATGCTCATGAACTGAAAGAATTAATGGTGTTAAAATGTCCATACTACCTAAAGCTATCTACAGATTCAGTGCAATCCCTATCAAAATACCAATAGCATTTTCCACAGAACTAGACCAAATAATCCTAAAATTTGTTTAGAATCACAAAAGACTCTGCATGGTCAAAGCACTTTGAGAAAGAACAAAACTGGAGGTATCACAATTCCAGATTTCAAGATATACTACAAAGCTGTACTAATCAAAACAAATAGTACTGGCACAAAAATAGACACACAAACCAACAGAACAGAATAGAGAGCCCAGAAATAAACCCATGCTTATACAGTCAATTAATCTATGACAAAGGAGGCAAGAATATACAATGGGAAAAAGATAGTCTCTTCAATAAATGGTGCTTGGAAAACTGGACAGCAACATGTCAAAGAAAGAAACTGTATCACTCTCTAAGACCTTACACAAAAATAAACTCAGAACGGATTAAAGCCCTAAATGTGAGACCTGAACCCATAAAAAAAGAGAACACATGCAGTAATTTTTCTGACATCAGCCTTAGCAACATTTTTCTAGATATGTCTCTTGAGGCAGGGGAAATAAAAGCTAAAACAAACTATTGGGACTACATAAAAATAAGAAACTTTTGCAAAGCAAAGGAAACCATGAAAAAAAAAACCTAAAAAACAACCTACTGAATGAGAGAAGATATTTGCAAATGATGTATCTGATAAGGGGTTAATATCCAAAATATATAAAGATCCACACCAAGAAAACCCACAAATAATCCAATTAAAAATGGGCAGAGGACTTGAATAGACATTTTTTCCAAAGAAGACATACAGATGGCCAACAGACAAAAGAAAAGATGATCAACATCACTAATCATCAGGGAGATGCAAATCAAAACCAGAATGAGATAGCACTTTATATCTGTCAGAGTGGCTAAAATAAAAAAAGATAAGGAATAACAAGTGTTACCAAAGATGTGGAGAAAAAGCAACCCTATACACTGTTGGTGGGAATGTAAATTTGATGCATCCACTGAGGAAAACAGTATGAAGTTTCCTCAAAAAATTAAAAACAGAAAAAAATAGAAAAAAAAATAAAAAAATTAAAAATAGAATTACCATATGATCCAGTCATTCCACTTCCGGGTATTTACCCAGAGAAAATGAACACACTAATTCAAAAAGGTATTTGCACCCCTAGGTTTCCTGCAGCATCATTTACAATAGCCAAGATATGGATGTAACCTAAGTGTCCACTGATAGATGAATGGAAAAAGAAAATGTGGTGTGTGTACACACATACACACACATACACACTGGAGTATCATGCAGCCACAAAAAAGGATGAGATCTTGCCATCTGCAACAACATGAATAAACCTAGAGGGTATAATGTAAGTGAAATAAGTCAGAGTGAGAAAGACAAATACCGTATGATTTTACTCATATGTGGAATCTAAAAAACAAAACAAATAAACAAAAAGCAGAATCAGATCTGTAAATACAGAGAACAAACTGGTGACCGTCAGAGGAAGGGGGTAGGGGAAAGTGCAAAATGGGTGAAGGGGAGTGGGAGATACAGGACTTCAGTTATGGATGAATAAGTCATAGGGAAAAAAGGTACAGCAGAGCAAAAATAGTCAGTGATACTGCAATAGCGTTATGTGGTGACAAAGGGTAGCGACACCTACAGTGAGCATAGCATAATGTATAGAGAAGGGGAATCACTATGTTGTATACCTGTAACATTGTGTGTCAAATATACTTAGATAAAAAACTTTTTAAAAATTAAACATTTCCCTAAAGACAACAAAAATTATCTCAACAATTGTTTTCTCAGAGGTCCTTCTATACTGCTTGTAGGCTTACAGCATGAAATATTGAACTAAACATAAAAACTTTACATCAAGAAAATCCAAGAGGAAGAACAAACTATTTCAATTATAAGAATTTAGCAAGGTCTCTGGATACATAAACACACATTGATACATAAGACCAAAATATATAAACTAGCAATGAATAAACAGAAAACAGAACAAAGTATCAAGAACATCAAACAACATACATACTTGGAAATAAATCTAACTAGAGGGCCCCTGGCTGGCTCAGTTAGTAGAGTATGTGACTCTTAATCTCAGGGTCATGAGTTCAAGCCCCACATTGGGTATAGAGATTACTTAACAAAAAACAAAAAACAAAAAACCTCTAACTAAAAAACCTAAGACCTCCGCTCTGAAAACTACAAAAGGACGTTAAAGACTTCAGTAAATGGATTAGGTTTAGATTCAGAGACTCAGTATTGTAAAATGTCAGATCTCTTTAGATCAGTCTATAGAGTCAATATAATCCCAGAACAAAGAGTCAAGGATAGCCAAGACAATTCTGAAGAACAACAAAGCTAGATTACTTAAGCTAGCAGGTATCAAGGCCTCTCATAATGCATTAGTAATTAAAGACAATGTGGAATTGGCAAATGAGGGAAAAATGGAACACAGAAACAAACCCATATATTTAAATGGTTGCCTGATTTATGACATAGGCAACAGTGCAAATGTAGAGAGAGTGTTTTTTTCAATAAAAGCCTGATTACTTGATCCCATATGGAGGGAAAAAAAGTATCTTAACCCTTGTTTCACACCATGGACAAAAATCAATTCCAGTGAGTTTACAGATCTAAATGTGGAAGGTCCAACAAGAAAGCTTTTAGAAGAAAACATAGGACAACATCTTTGTAAGCTGGGAGTAATTTTAAAAAGTGCTAACCATAAAAGAAAAATTAATAAATTGGACTATATTAAAACTATAAATTTTTGTTTATCTTATGCATCATTAAGTGAAAAGGCAAGCCACAGGGATTATCATACATTGTGACTATTATCAAAGAGATAATGTTAGAGTCACAATGTATGCTCTAACAAAGAATTTGTCCAAAATGCATAGAAAATTATAAATCAAAGTGGGAAAAACTCTTTCAAAGAAAAATGAATAAAGGTCTTGAACAGACACTTCACAAAAGAGAATATCCAATGGCCCAAAAAGTCTTCAATTTAATTAGTCAATAAAAATGCAAATGAAGACCACAATGTGATATGACTCTCCCCACCGGGATAGAAAATAATAGTGAAAAAGATGAAAAAATACCACATGTTGGGCAGGTGTGGAGTGACTGGAACACTCATACACTGCTTAAAGGAGTATAAACTAGTACAACTACTCTGACACATTGTTCGTATCTTTTAAAGCTAGGTATATGATCCAGCAATTTTACTCCTAGGCAGATGTAAAACAGAAATGTGTTAATGTGTTTAATGAGTGATAAATACTAAAAAGTTCATAGCAGTAGCATTTGTAAGAGCCCAAACTAGAAGTTATCCATATGTTCTTCAACAGTACAACAGATAAATTGTAGTATATTCACATAGAGGAATACTATCAGTAATAAAAGTGAGCTACCTACAATCACATGCAAGATTAAGGATGGATCTTACAAACACAATGCTGGAGACCATAACCAAGAGTACATATTCTGTAATTCCATTTGCATAAAGTAGAAAAATAGGCAAAATTAATGCAGGCTATCAGGAGAGTGGGTATTGACTGACAGAGAGCATGGTGGGGGGCTGCTTTTTGGATGCTGGTAATGTTCTGTTTCTTGATCTGTGTGCTAGTTTCACGGATGTGTCTGGTTTGTGAAAATTCATTCAAGTAAAATGAAGTTTACTATAGCATGACAGAATTTACAGGTGTAAAATCTACTCGAATTTTATGTTCAAGAAATTATAAGACAGGTAACAATTTAACTCATATATAGAACACAGGTTAGTCAATTTTTCACTTTCTACTGATGTACAGCAGAAGTCAATACTCACAGTAAATTTAGCTCTTTCTTCCATCACTTCATAACCTAGTATAGTAGGTGTAGAAGGTCTATCTTCCAAATATACTGTTTCAGGATTTTGTTCCTCACTTTCTCTTGGTCTAGCAGAATACTCAATGGAAGAATCTGCACCTGTAAATTTAGTCCTAATGAGGGGACTGCTACAGACAGATGAAGTACTATCCATTTGATCGGGTACACTTGTCTGTTTAAAATTACCCATATTTGAGTCCTCTAACTGGCCTCTGGAAGAGTTTGAGCTTGTTGAGATACTCCCAAAAGAAGAACTTCTTTGGTTTCTGTTGGTTGCAAAACTGGAAGCAGAGTTCCCTATGGGCATAGGAACTGGGACATAAGGAGTTGCCATCTTCTTTTGGCCTTTGCAAAAATCCTGCACAATGCTGAGTCCAAACACTCAGAGAACAACTAATATGAAATCCATTATTTTCTTCTTAGGAATTCACTATCTAAAAACGAGAAGAACATGTTGATAGGTTAGTCTTTAATTTGGAGTATTATCCAAAAAAACCTCAGAATGTTCACATCCATTTCTTTTGATTTTGTGACACTCCATTACTTCGTTTGGAATGAAAACACACCTCAAACCTCTTCATTTAATCCCAAGATATCATCTCTAAGGATTCCCATTTGCAAGGTAAAGAGAGCAGAATTACTCCACACTCTTTTTCTTGACCTTCATATTACATGTCATCCTTTTTAATCTTCACTTTCTTTCCTTGTGATAGATTTCTGTAATGTTCATTTTAATCTGATATCATCTATACATTAGAGTTGGGAACAGGAAGAGTGGTAAAGACTTTCTGAAGCTTTATTGTCTACTTAGGGTCCTGACAGCTCCCCATACAGTACAAGGAGGGAAGGAGGGGAGAAAAGAAAGGGAGAATTATTCACATTTCCTTTTAATTAGTGAAACTCTAAAGAATTACCCAGAGTAGTAACAGTGAACCACAAGCTTAGATGCTACAAGGTAAATATCAATTGTTCTTAAGGTAAGTTTATTAAACCCAGGATCAAATGTATTTGAAAAAAAGTGGTCAAATTAAATTAATCAAGTAAGACCCAAACTTACATCCAACAAGATGAAATGATTGAAAGTTAAAATGTTCTTCATAGTTTCCAGATCATCAGCAATGCTACTATGCCAGAAACTGAGGGAACTTAACAAATCCTTATCACTCATACCCAGTAATCCCTGTTGTCAAAAGGACTGGTTTATCTTGTCTCAGAATCTCATAGTTATACAATGAAGAAAAGGTTTACCACCAAGTTGTTAAATAATAAACTAAGAAATTGTAATAACTACAGAGCTGTGAAATGGCACATAACAAGGGGGGCCTGCCTATCTTAACTACATCTAGGCAACTCTGCTGGTGAGAAAGGTAGGCACAGAGCCGCCCGGACTTGGAAAGATGCTGAAGTAAGATTTTTTTAATCCAGCACGTGGCTCTCGGCAACCTTCCTCATCATCAAAGATTCAAGAAACTTGAACTGCTGATTCACTGCTCCTCGGTTCTGCTTGGTGGCCTCCCCCCAAAAGAAGTAAATAAAAGTCTGAAATCTTATCCTTTTCAAGGCCTGTGGGATAGCCCTGCCCTTGCCACCCAACTACCTGAGGCCCCAGGGCTGGGGAGAGAGGACGCGTATCAATACAATCACTGACGTGCAAAGCCGTGAGCGCTACCCAAACTTTTAAGAAAATGTATTGGGATCATTAATAGCGTCTTCACTTTTGCCTTAGCATGGAGATGCTCCAAGGACTAACATCTTCGTCCTACACTGGAAAAGCTCGGTCAGGTGAGGTGGCCCGAGCCTGAGCAACGCGGTAGGAGAGAGAAGTGGGTGGCGAGAGAAAAGTGGAGAAACCCAGGCGCAGCTCGACCCTAGGAGCGCCGGGTCGGTGTCAGAGCAGTCCACGGGTCTTCGGCTCAGTGGACGGGGAGACCCTCTGCTCCCGGGGCTCCCAGGAGCCCCAAGACGGAGCCACCTCCGCCGCCCGGTGCGAGGCCAGCGCCTCCCACACGCTCGGCGGAGTCTGCGGTGGCCTGAGGATGGCCCGGAGGCTCCCGCGGGGCCCCTCCACCCTCCGGTGGAGTCCGCCCGCCGCCCGCCAGCCACGGGGGTGCAGGTGTCACTCGCATGAGCGCCCAGAACAGCGCCCGCTGCCTTGTCCCTACCTCAGCCCACTCCGCGATTCCGTTTGAGCGCACTTCCCTGTGACGGTTAAATCCGACCCTCCTTAACTGCAGCTTTTCCTCTCCACCCACAGGACCAAGAAGTCTCACGTGACTTTCCGCCCCCAAAGCAGCGGCTCCCAGCCTCAGCCGGGTTCTACCCTGGCCGTCCGGCCCCGGATCCTAGCGAGGTGGAGGGTGGGGCCAAGCCCGGCCGCCTCTCCCGGAAGTGACGTCACGCAAGGGCGATTTTTTTTTTTTTTTTCTTCCCTCCCCGCTCAATAACCCCCCAACCCCAGAGGCGCGGACTGGAGTTGTCCTGACAGGGCTCTTTGGCAGCCGGGTTGGGCCTTGTTTTGTGGTGAGAATTCTGCCTTCTCTGCCCTAGCTTTATTTTTATAAACTAACTGAGAAATGGGGGTTAAAACTCCCAGTTTGTCGCACAGGTGATCAGAAGATTACAGTTCCTAGGAAGAACTACGGCCAGCACTGGTCCAGGCTCTGCTTTGCATCATGGGACTTGTAGTCGTCACTAACTTGGGCTGGTTCTAGTAGATTATAGATTGTTTTCTAGAATTAGCGCTTTAAGGGATGACAATAGATTCTAAGATTGGGAAGACAGAACACTGCACTTAAGCTTATTCGCCCTATCATTGGCAGATAATTGAAATTGCTGAGTGGTATTGTTTGTTTTTTTACAGCCCAGGGAGCAGTTTTATCTCAAATGATACAATATTAGGCTTGTTAGACTTGCACATCTGAAGACCTGTAAAGTTACCGGGAAAGCTGTTTTTTGATAGTCAAATACCAAAATTTAGACAGTTTACAGGGTTGTTTATCATTAGAATTGTGCATTTTGATTTAAAGATCATCCCATGATTTCTAAGGCTTTGGAACATTCCCAAGACTGGGAAAAATTGATAGTTGTAATTTCAAAATGAGCATAGGAAGATAATCTGGTTTGTGGCATAATAATGGTTTTGGTTGATGATATTGCCCTTCTTGTGTGAGTGAGACATAAAAAGAGAATTTTGTGGAAACAGTGGACTAAAACATGAGGTAGTTTTCAGTTCAGAGTTGGCAATCTTTTATTTAAAAAAAAAAAGATGTTCAGTTCATTTTCTGTAAGTAAAATCTAGACATTTATCTATACCAAGTAGTCTGCAAGATAAAGAATATATATACTATCTATACCCTGTATGCTCCTTTCAATAATTTGTAAAGGAAGTTCTTCTTGGACAATTTCAACTTTTCTAGATCCTTCCTCCTCCTAACTGTGGTATTTGTACACTTCTGTCTCTTGAAAGTTTAATTTGCCTTGGCTTCCTTGATATTGGACTATCACGTTTTCCTCATTATAACTATCTTTTGCTACCACCTGCAGCTCTGTCCACAAGTGAAGGAAATACTCCAAGGCTCATTTTTTTCTTTCTTTTCTCTCTATATCCTTGCCACTTCAAGACCAAGAGTTTTTAAAGTTGAGGTATAATTTACATATCACATTACATTAGCTTTAGGTGTGAAACATAATTATTTGACATTTGTATATATTGAGAAAATGCTCATCACGATAAATCTAGTTAACATCTGTCACCATACATAGTTCCAGAAGTTTTTTCATGTGATGAGGACTGTAAGATTTACTTTCTTAGCAATTTTCAGATATTCAGTCAATACAGTAGTATGAACTATAGTTGCCATGCTCTACATTATATCCTCATAACTTACATAGTTTATAACTAGAAGTTTGTACCTTTTGACCCCTTTATTCATTTTGCTCACCTCCACTTCTGGCAACCACCAATCTATTCTCTGTATCAATGAGCTTGTTTTGTTTTTGTTTTTTTAAATTCCATATATAAGTGAAATCATATGATATTTGTCTTTCTTTTTTTTTTTTCCTAGGCAAAGAACTTTATTAACCTTGTTTCAAACTTTATTCCCAGGCTTCTTCAGCTTAATTAGCTGCAAAGAATGAATTGTGTATAAGCAAAAACTGAAAAGAACTGTAGTGTCCAAGGGGCTTGGGCTTAAAAATATTAGAGATCTAGATTTTATCAGATCCATGAACAAAATTTTAAAAAGCAGTCATAATATAAAATAGCAGCTCCCAGTAACTTCTTCAAGTTTTATGTTCTTCAGAAGTTGACTCAATTCAGTTTGCTTCATTCTTGGAAGCTTCATCAAAATTCTCCACAAGATCTGGAACTTCATTATCATCATCCTCTCCGGTAGCAAGTGGTGCTTTTCCATCCACAGATTGTTTGGGCAGAGCTTCAGCCAGTCTTCTTAAACTAGTCAGACTGTCTGCACCAAGTTGGTTTAAGATACTGGGTAGCATTTCTGTCAGCTGCTTTGTCTCAGCATGGCCTGTAATGGTGAAAGTGTTCGCTGCCAGTGATGCCTGAACTTTGGGGTTGTTAAAATGGATCACTGTTCCTTGGTTTGTGAACATATTCACTTCTTCAATACCAGAGATATTGTTTACCCCTAACTTCTTTAAGGAGAACTGAAGTTTTTTATCATCTGCTGTAGCCGTTCTACGAACCACCTTCTTCTTTCGGCGAGCAGTTCCTTTCCCACCAATGCGCACTTGTGCTTGCAGTTTGGCGAGTTTCTCCTGGTTCATGATAGTTTCTTTCATCTTGTTGGAGCAGAAATGGGATCGTGCGGGGGAATGGGGTTGGTGCTCAGGGGGTTTCGGACGGACCAGCTGAGATTAGGTGCATGCACGCGGGGACGCAGGATGGCAGCTAAAGCGATATTTGTCTTTCTGTGACTTATTTCACTTAGTGTAATGCCTTCTAGGTCCATCCATGTTTTCACAAGTGACAAGATTTCATTCTTTTTTATGGCTGTGTAGTATTGTGTGTGTGTGTGTGTGTGTGTGTGTGTATGTGTATATGTATATGTATATATAAACATCTTCTTTATCCATTCGTCTATTGATAGACATTTAGGTTGTTTCCAAATCTTGGCTATTGTAAATAATGGTGCAGTGAACATGGGAGTACATATATCTTTTTGAATTAGTGTTTTTGGTTTTCTTTGGATAAATACCCAGAAGTGGAATTTTTGGGTTATATGGTAATTCTATTTTTAATTTTTCTAGGAACCTCCGTACTGTTTTCCACAGCGGCTGCACCGATTTACATTCCCACCAACAGTGCATGAAAGTTCGCTTTTCTCCACATCCTCACCAACACTTGTTATTTCTTATCTTTTTTTTAAAATGATGAATGAGTTAGTTTAATTTATTTTTTTTAAGTAATCTCTATACCCAGTGTGTGGCTCGAACTCACAACCGCAAGATCAAGAGTTGCATGCTGTATTGACTGAGCCAGCCAGGCATCCCTATTTCTTGTCTTTTTGATAATAGCCATTCTGACAAGTGTGCGGTGGGTGATATCTCATTGTGGGTTTTTTTTAATTTTTTAGAAAAATTTTAAGTTTTTATTTAAATTCCAGTTAGTTAACATGTAGTGTAATATTAGTTTCAGTTATACAATACAGTGATTCAACACTTCCATGTAACACCTAGTGCTCATCACAAGTGTACTCCTTAATCCCCATTACTATTTAACCCATCTCCCCAATCCCCTGCACTCATTGTGGTTCCGCAATCCCCTGCACGCATTGTGGTTTTGATTTGCATTTCTCTGAAGATGAGTGACAGTTGAATATTTTTGCATAAGCCTATTGGCCATCCATATGTCTTCTTTGGAAAAATGTCTATTTAGATCCTCTGCCCGATTTTTAATTGGATTTTTTGTTGTTGTTATTGAATTGTATGAGTTCTTTGTATATTTTGGATATTAACCCCTTATCAGGTCCCACATGATTTACAAATCTTTTCTCCCATTCAGGAGGTTGCCTTTCATTTTATTGATAATTTCCTTTGCTCTTTAGAAGGTTTTTCGTTTGATATAGTCCCACTTGCTTATTCTTGCTTTTGGTGCCTTTGCTTTTGAGGCTGGATCCAAAAAAAATCATTGCCAAGACCCAGGTCAGGGAGCTTACCACCTTTGTTTTCTTTGAGGAGTTTTATGGTTTCAGGTTTTACATTCAAGTCTCTAATCCATTTTGAGTTAATTTTTGTGTATGGTGTAAAGATAGTAGTCTAGTTTTATTCTTGTACATGTGGCTGTCCAGTTTTTCCAACACCATTTATTGAAGAGACTCTCCTTGCCCCATCTTATATTCTTGGTTTCTTTGTTATAACTTAATTGACTGTGTATTTATGGGTTTATTTTTGGGCTCCTGAACAACTTTAATAATCAAGAAAGAATGACCTGTGGTTGTCAGAGTGAAAGTTACATTTTGACGGAGAATATGTAATGGCTAGTCTCTATGGAATATTTTAGTTAATTTTGGATGACTCTGTATAGTGTACACAATCAAATGGCACTGTATACATTTTAATTTGTAGAGTAACAGTAGACCATTTTTATGTCCTTTATTTTAATTTTATGTAAAATATATACATTTAGCAGGATATTTTGAGCCAACTCTAGGAACAGTTTTATACAATGATATATAGATACTGGTAATGGTGGGGGGAAGGGTTTGGGGAGAGAGGGAAGAATGGTAAAACAAGAAACAAAAAAACAAAACAAAAAAAACAGAAGAAAAGTATGTGCCACATACTTAGGCAGACATCTCTTGAGGTGGCTTCCTAGAGTCCCGCATTTGCCCCTTCCCTGGAACTGGTGGTCTGTCTTCTATAAGGCTGGGCCCCTGGTGGCCATGTTTGTAATGCATTAGTCTTAAAACAAATGTTTTTTGTCACAGTTAATTGTACCTGAGGAGGATATTTGACCTAAATTGTGTCCAAAGGATGCTCTCTCCTAGGAATTAAAAGGGGTGGGAGAAAGATACAGACTGGCAGTCACAGGAGGTAAAGGCAGATAAAGAAAATTTTGTGATAAGAAGGTCAATAAAGTCCCACTGCTGAAGTCACTGGAGTTGATCTGGTCCTTCCCCATTCTTGACTTTTACCTGGAGTTATGAGATACCCTAGTGTACTTGCAGTAGATTTGCTTTTTGCTTAAACCTAGCCAGAGTTTGTTCTTCTTATAACCAAAAGTACAACTACTACAGCAGGTTGGAAGGAGGCAAACTGAATATGAATTTTAAAAGCCGATAAAATGTAAACATTCCTTCTCAGTGACTTATAATAACTAAAATAATATAAAAAGCAACTCCTTTTCA